CAGGAATGCGGAGGGAATGGCCCCGGGGATGGTCGCTCCGCACCCCGTACCCCGCGCTCCCGGCTTTTCCGGGGGTCGCCGGGCAGAGCGCGCGAGGCGTGCGGACGCGGAGCAGGTACCTCCTCCTGCAGGTGGGGCGGAGGCGGGTGGACAGGGTTCTCCTGAAATACTCCGGCTGAGTCACTGGAACCGGAATAACCGCCTCCCTCCCTCCCCTGCGCTCCGCATCCTAGTGTTCCGCCCTGTCTAGCAGGCCGGGCCCCATTTCTTCAAGTTCGGCTTCTGTGCAAATAGAAGCGGTGAATATGTGGCTGCTACCACTGATCCAGAGCACATTCTGATCATTTCAGTCGCTGTGGCTGATAGGCCCATTGAAAGTCTTCACAGAGCTGCTCACATTAAGGGATAGTAGCCTGAGTTGGAGTTAAGAAAAATAGATGTAACGAAATAACACACACACACACACACACACACACACACCCCCATACATATATATACATATATATGTATGTGTATATATATAACTTAGGAGAAAACAACTTCCTTGTAAGACAATGTCGGTAAGTTTAAAGAATTTGGTAAAGAAAATTAAGTGTTTTGGGTACGCTATAGAATCTATAGATCCTTAGTTTCCAATGTGTACTTAATGTCATATCTTCATCATTATTGTTGGCTTTTTAATATATCACGAATATTTCCTTTTAGTTTAATCATAGCAATAGATTACAATGCTTAGGGCTGCTGAAGTAAGCATGTATTTTTTGAAATTCGTATCATGGGGTTCAAGTGTAAAACTGGGTTATTTCAACAATTAGATGCAGACACTGTAATTCTAAAGGAGAATACGGCCTTGGCTTAATGGCGATAAATTTTGTCTAAGGATCGCTCTGTTGCAGTGCTCACCTGGATGAAAGGATTGGCTGCCTCTAAATCCAGTGCAGTCGGGAGGGTAACATACCCACCAGTTTGTTACATTTTATGTGGCAGGGGCTCGGTGTTATTACAAAGAAGCCCTCTGCATTGACCAAAGAGCCTTGGTTATAGATTAATGTAGGGTGGAAATATTTAATTTTAGAGATATTTACTTACAGGTTGCATTTACCTGAACTTTTCTGTGAGATTGCATTCTTTAACAAACTTGGAAATTGGTTTCTATATGAGCTTTATCCCAAAACACCAAGCAAGTCAAACATTTCTAAAAGTTACTAGACCTGTGGTATTGTGGTTAAAGGAAATGGTTATGATGGTTTTCAGAAGAGGAAGTGAGAGTAACATCAAAAGTGATTTGGGTATTTGGGCAAAATACCTTTTTTTTTTTTTTTAAAGCATTCATTACACATTTTTATAGTATAAATACACCCTAACTTTACATATCCCACTTTCATAAGTTAAATAAGATTAAACTAAATTCTAGGCATTTGAATTTTTATAATTTCAGTTAACTGCTTTTTCTCAAAAGCGTATTTTCTTTCACTTCCTGTTTTGAGAAACTTCAGGCTCTTGTATTATTGAACTAGTAAAATTTAAGATGAGTTGAATATAATCATTATATCCAAGTGTCAGATATTTTGAGTTACTGAAATGTTATATATTTCAGCACTTAACATTTATAGTTTGTTGAAAAATATTTTGTCTGCCTTGTCTGATTGTGAGTTCCCTCTGGGCAGGGACAGTGTTACTCATTTTTTAATTACTAGTACTTTGGGATTTATCAGGTCCATGAGACCTTCAAGGCCTTGTTGAAATGAACGACTACAATATCTGATATATGTGTATATATGTGTGAGTGTGTGTATATATGTATATATAATCTTTCTCTAGTTTTAATAATAAATTTGGGTTTGCACTCATGTAATTTTGCATACAGATACATCAGATAGATTTTGAATCTTTCAGCTGTAGATGTGTCTATAAGACTGGCTAAGGATTGAAACATTTGTTCAAAAATCTTGCCAAAAAAAATAAAAATAAAAAAAGTAAGATCTGTTCACCATGTGTTTATAAGGCTCATGCTTTCTGCATTTTTATGACAGTGTAAACCACATTATCGTTTCAATCTCAGTCTCTTACAGTCCTCAAAAAAACCTTCCACCATATAATACATGTCTGCCAATCAGTTATATTTTTATTAATGCGTGTGTGCATTAGATTGTCTATCAGATCTGATTACTTTGCTCTGTTTGCAAGTGTGCAATGGAAATATTTTAGTGAGCATATGAAAAATACTTCAGTGACCTATAATCAAGAATGTGCTTTAATGCTCATTAGGGGGAATGTAATATGGTTACTGAAAAATGTTTCCCATATTAAAAAAAAATTCATCAGTTGTGAAATTTTTGAGATCTTAATATGTACTGGTTATGGAAATTTTAGAGAACTTGTCTAATCAGGGATGTAGGAACATATAAAGGAGGATTTTAGGGAAAAGACATGAAAGTGGTAGGTACTTTCACATTTAAATTTATTTTTTCTGAATTCCTTAAAGTTTTGTTTTTTATTTTTATTATTATTTTTGTTTGTTTGTATTCTGAGAGGAAGGGACAGGGATAGAGAGGTAGAAACATCAATGATGAGAGGAAACCATTGATCGGCTGCCTCCTGCACGCCCCACACTGGGGATCGAGCCTGCAACCCAGGCATGTGCCCCTGGCCAGAATCGAACCTGGGACACTTTAGTCCGCAGGCTGGCGCTCTATCCACTGAGCCAAACCAGCTAGGGTTAAAGTTTTATTTTTTATTAAAACTATGTCTTTCCTTTTCCACACCTAATACCACTCACTTATGTAGTGATTTTTCATATTTTTCAGGCTACTTTTATATGTGAATGTGGCATGGCAGGCAGTTTGGTGATGGGTGGTAGAGTACTGGACCAGAACTTAGGAGATCTGCATTCCAATATTCAGTCTGTCACTGTGTCCTGTAACATTGAGTAGGTGCCATGACTTCCCTGAGCTTCATTTCTCCTCATCTATGAAATGGGAGAAAAATAACGTAAAAGGAATGCTAAAGTCGATTCCAGTTCTGATTATGTTATCTTTACAAGTTCATTGTCAAGTAGCAGGGTAGAAGTTATGGCTCATTTTAGATAGTAACTTGAGCTCTAAGTTTAGTTTTCTGTAATAAGGGATGGTAATGCTCTGCCTACTTCACTGGATTGTTTGTGAAGATAAAAGACTAACAATGTGAAAATTGTTTAATAAAATGTCTAGGAGTGTAAGGTAGCACTTATTTAGAAGTCTCAGCAATCTTTTGAGCAACATGTTTTTCTGAAATTTTACCATTATTTAGCAAACATTCCCAAATCCCAAAAGAAAACATTTTTTTTTGCTGAGTTTAAAAAATATTGTTTTGTTGTTGTTGACTCTTTCTTGTTTTTTTTCTGTCTCTTTTTCTATATCACCAACATGAACTTGATAACTCTGTACCAAAAAGGTCTCAGTTAATACTTGCTTATTTTTGCTCTTGTTAAATTATTACCTCAATCTATAAAGGACAGAAAAGACCCATCCCATCTTTTTAAAAAATGAAATATTTTTGCAGATTTCAACACATTTCCTTTTTTTTTCTCGCTTAGAGCAACAGTTTTTCCCCACAGCCCTTTTCCCATGATTATGGATAAATTTATTTTATGGGGGGGAAATCAATAGAATAGCAGTGTAAAAGTGAAAGTTCTTGGCTGGTTTCTGCTTATCTAATGGAGGAAAAAAAGATGCATGTGAAGGATGCAGTGCAAGGTGAAAGGAGGGTGGCCAGCTTCAGCCCTCCCTTTCACTGTTTCTCTTCATAAGATTTTTTTCTTCCAGTAGGATTTCATTATCAAGAGCTTTAAACATGTTAAGAATAAAACATTATTCCTCCATAAATCTGAATTTAAATTATATATTATTTATTTAAACAACAAATCCTATTATGTCTGTTTGTAACTT